GTGCTGAGGAATCGAACCCAGGCCTCAGGCATGCAAGGCAAGCGCTCTACCACTGAGCCACCTTCCCAGCCCGTGAGCCATTTTTTAAAAATGATATAATCTCTTCCTTCTTGTCATATGAGCCAATTAATAACTAAAAGGAGCATTCAAGATAGACAAGATTTTAGTTTCTGTTTTTAGTTATCAGTTCTTCAATACTTTGAGTGCCTTATCAAAAATGTATCTTAGAGTGGGACATTTGGCCTGGAAGCTGTTATCTTTCTCGTGATAGCAATGAAACAGTAAACTTAAAATGGGTAATGTTGTAAAAGGCAAGATTTTTGTTCAGAAGTGTGCCCAGTGCTACACTGTTGAAGAGAGAGGCAAGCACAAGACTAGGTAGAAGGATTGCTTGAGCCAGAGTGAGGCTCTATCATAGGAAGGGAGAGAGAAAGGATGGGTAGTATGAAAGGAGAGGAGGGAAAAATAGAACAAAAAAACAAAGACAAGAGACAGGGGAAAAGAAACCCATTCCCTATCCCAACACTTTACTTCCCTTCATAGGAGTTGATCTTAAAGTAGCAACTGTCAAACATTAGAAAACAAAGGGTCAGAGGTTAATGTACAGTGCACAATATTCTTTTCCATTTTTTTTTTTTTGCCCAGAACATAGGGGGAAAATATCCTTGAAACTTGGGTATACCATGCCAAACTTCATGCACCTAAATATTTGCTAGCCTGCCATAGTTAGATAAATATTATCTTAGCCTTTATGAGTTCTTTCCCCTCAAGAGGTTGGGCCTCAGGAAAAAAAAAAATTCAAACTAAATTTTCTGTCAGCTTATTTGCCCATAAAGCTGAAAGCCTTGAAGACAAACTAACAAGTGAATCAAAAGCATGCTTGCACTGTCAAACGAGAAAGACAGGGAATAAAGCAGGACCAATGTGTACAGCTCATGACAAGTAGGGGCTGGTATAGTTTTTCTAAAAGTTGAAAGAGATCCAAATTATACTGTTACTCTTTGCTCAAGAATAGGATTGAGGGGCTGGGAAGGTGGCTCAGTGGTGGAGTGCTTGCCTTGCATGCATGAGGCCCTGGGTTCATGTTTATAACATGAATTTTCCAAGCCAAGTGTAGGGCTTTCACATATAGTTCCAGCATTTCAAAGACTGAGGTGGGAAGACTGCTTGAGTCCAGGAGCTTGAGATTAGTCTGACAAAACACAGTAAGACTTTATCTCAAAACCAGAAGTATTATAAAATTTCCCATCACTTGCCATAAAGGACAAAACACTAGCTTGCAGTTTTGAGGCTAAGAAGGGCCAGGCTGTGACTGGTTGAAGAGTCAAGGCTTCCATAAGGCTTTAGAAAATAGCAATCACTGGGGAGTACAGTCATCAAATCTACCCTTCTCAATAAGCAGAAGCTGCTTGTTTGCAAAATAGAGAGCAGCTCTAAGTATGTCTTAGAGCCCCAGCTGCCCTCTTTAATCTCATATAGAGGAAACAAAAAACTTTGGTACTCAACTCTACACCAAAGATCATGTGAAGTTCCTTCTATGTACTTTCCTTACTATGGGGTAGTAGGGGTGGGGAAGAGAGGTGAACTAAGGTAGAAAGAAAAGATGAGGGGCTGGGAAGGTGGCTGGGAAGTGGTAGAGTGTTTGCCTCGCATGCATGAGGCCCTGAGTTCAATTCCTCAGCACCACATAAGCAGAAAAAGCTGGAAGTGGCGCTGTTGCTCAAGTGGTAGAGTGCTAGCCTTGAGCTGAAGAGTTGAGGGACAGTGCCCGGCCCAGAGTTCAAGCCCACGACTGGACCCCTCCCCACCCCCCAAAAAAGATGAATTTGACTTAGACTTTGCTTCTCCTGCTCACATTTAACAGGACAGGCAGAAGTATCTAACCCTACTTCAGAATTCTACAGTTTTGTTTTTTTGCTGGTCTTGGGGCTTGAACTCAGGGCCCGAGTTTTACCAGTTGTGGGTCTTGAACTGTGGGCCTGGGTGATGACCCTCAGCTCTTCAGAGCAAGGCAAGCACTCTACAACTGAGCCTCAGCACCACTTCTGGTTTTCTAGTGGTTTATTAGAGATAAGAGTCTCATGGACTTGCCGGTCGCTGGTGGCTCACGCCTGTAGTCCTAGCTACTCAGGAGGCTGAGATCTGAGGATCGTGGTTCAAAGCCAGCCCGGGAAGGAGAGACCGTGAGACTCCTATCTCCAATAAACCACCAGAAAACCGGAAGTGGTGCTGTAGCTCAAGTGGTAGAGCGCTCTCCTTGAGCTGAAGAGCTGAGGGACAGCGCCCAGACCCAGAGTTCAAGCCCCACGGCCGACCAAAAAAAAAAAAAAGAGTCTCATGGACTTTCCTGCCTGGGCTGGCTTTGAACCGTAATCCTCAGATCTCAGCCTCCTGAGTAGCTAGGATTACAGGCATGAGCCACAGGCACTGAGCTATTCTATATTTTTTGACTGGGGTCATCTCCATTGCTCGGGTTGGTCACAAATTCCTAGATTCAAGTGATCTTCCCACCTTAACCTCCCAAGTAGCATACCATTGGCCCCGTCCTCATGCTAACTTCTAATTTTTTTTTTTTGGTCCAGTTGTGGGGCCTGCACTCTGGGCTTGGGCGCTGTCCCTCAGCTCTTCAGCTCAAGGCTAGCACTCTACCACTTGAGCCATAGCGCTACTTCCGGCTTTTTTCTTTTTGCTTATGTAGTGCTGAGGAAGCGAACCCAGAGCCTCAGGCATACAAAGCAAGTGCTCTACCACTGAACCACCTTCCCAGGCTTTAACTTCTAATTTTTTGAATCTGCTATCAAACACTCATTTTGTGTCATTAGTCTTGCAATACTATTACCCCACCAATTTCCCCAACCAGTCAATTGGACTTATGTATGTATATTAATAACCCTGACATGCAGATCAAACAGCTCCATGAAAGCAACACACAAAGCATACGGAACAAGCAGCATCAAGCTGCCACAAATTTTATTGAATTCATTTCTTTATAAGCAACAAAAAGCTAAAATCAAGGTATACAAGCATGCATCAAGGCATTTATCATGCACAGAGCCCCTGTGAAGGTGTTTTTATTCAATATAAACATGTTAGCAATAGCTACACAAAGGCTGTAGAGTGAGATTGTAAGTACACTTGAACTTACAAGTTGTGGCTAGGCCAATGTTCTCTACTTATAAGTGAGGTAAACAGAACTCATCTGGCTCATGCCAGAAACTTTAAAGCTGTTAATTCAGCTAAAAACGACTTCTCCTGAGGACCTTTTTCCTAGTTAGCTGCTTTTCCAATTTAGAGTCATCTAACTTGTCAAGGTTAATTTCAACATAACAAGGTTATCATCTGGCTGGCTACTTAATGCACTGGTAAGAAGCGTAGATTTAGTGAGTTTTAGGCTCAGATGGCTGGGCCTCCTGGCTGGTCTTGTCGGTTTCTGCATTTTGATCCAGAGCACCCTGAGACTCAGTAATCTGAGAATAAAAGGGACCTACCAGCCAATTGACAGGTGTGTTGTTAACAAGATAATCCATCACATCATCTAAAGATTCCTTCATTTTCTTCAGCTGCCCATTGCTAGAGGTGAGGAAGCTGTCAGACACTTCCTTAAAGGAAGCAGCATTGCGGAACACAGAGTAGATCTCTCCTGCCATCACCCCCAAGTGGCTGGCCTGGTCTTGAATATGCTGTGGTAACCCTTGGATGTTGAAGAGAAGGATGTGGCATGTGGTCTGGAGCTGCTGAGTCAGGTTTCGGGCAATAGCCAGGGTCCGTGACTCAATGTGCTAAAAATAGAACAAATAAGAATTAGCAGTGCAATCAACAGTGTAATGCATGACTCAGTTCACAGTAAAACAGTCATATATCCACCACATATGTACCTTTTCTAATCCTCGTAACAACCCAGAATACAGAGAATTTTTCATAGCTTATGAATATAAATCGACCAGTTAACAACTGGAAAATAGCAGAGTGGGGATTTGAACTATATCTGAGTCTCTAAAAATCATCTTAAAATGAAGAATCACAACAAGCAGGGAGATCAAACAGAATTAAAATATTTTCTATGTTAGTAGCGTAATCTGCTTATTATCATCTCCACAATACAACAAGATAACACTATATGAACAAATAATTGGTACTGATTTTAAAGGCAAATGGATACTAGCTTTCAGGACAAAAGAACTGTTTTCTAGAACTAAATGGGCTCTCTCTCTTCTGTCTGGAACAATGGTCCCTTTATTGTCCTTACACTAGTTTATCCATTAGTTCTTAGTTCTGCATTCACCTCATCCAGAAGCCATCTGACTCACCCACATCCACCTCAAGGCTGGGTGAAGTGGTCTTCCTGTATGGTTGCCCAGCTCCTCTCTCTATTTATCCTTTTAAAAACGCTACTAAAGAGCTGGGCGCTGGTGGATCACACCTGTAATCCTAGCTACTCATGAGGCTGAGATCTGAGGATCACAGTTCAAAGCCTGGGCAGGAAAGTCTGAGAGACTCTTATCTCCAATAAATGCTCAGAAAACCGGAAGTGGTGCTGTGGCTCAAGTGGTAGAGCGCTAGCCTTGAGCTGAAGAGCTGAATTCAAGCCCCATGACTGACAAAAAAAAAAAAATGCTACTAAAGGGCTGGCGCCTGAGCCACAGTGCCACTTCCGGTTTTCTAGTGGTTTATTGGAGCTAAAAGTCTCATGGACTTTCCTGCCGGGGCTGGCTTTGAACCGCGATCCTCAGATCTCAGCCTCCCGAGTAGCTAGGATTACAGGCATGAGCCACTAAGCGTAAGCCCGGCTAGGTTATTAATTAAAGTCACTCCCTTCCCTGGTTTTGCTTTTCTGTCAAGTAACAACTTATTCACAAAATATTATCCAGGCTTTTGAGGGAACAGTATTCTAAGGGAAATTATGGGAAAAGTGAATGAAAAGTCTGGTAATACCTTCTTTAGGAAGTAGTGAATGACTATTTTCTCATCATCTTACCTCAGCACAATGGGATTCATCAGTATCATCATGGCCAATGCTTCTCTTCCACTCTACCCATGACTGATAGAGCTTATCCTGAATTTTCTGGTTGGCACTATGAACATTCTTTCTGGCATATTCAATCTGTAACATAATGACATAAGACACAAGAACAGCCTAGTGATTCATATTAGCCTGTTTACAGCTCTGTAATGTCAAAAGGCAATATATAAACCAACAGTACCTGTAACAGTTTAGTGGGAGCCATTAATGCTGTTATTATAAATATGTGTAAATAATAGCTTGGCTCATTATTGCCTTTTTTTTCTGTCAGTCATGGGGCTTGAACTTGGGACCTGGGTGCTGTCCTTGAGCAACTTTTGCTCAAAGCTAGTGCTCTATCACTTTGATCCACAGCACCACTTTCAGTTTCCTGGTGGTTAATTGGAGATAAGAGTCTCACAGACTTTCCTACCTGAGCTGGCTTTGAACCAAAATCCTCAGATCTCTGTCTCCTAAGTAGCTGAGATTACAGGCATGACCACCAGCACCAGGCCCATTACTCCCCTTTTAAACTATTAAATACTGACTCCAAATTTACCTCCAGTTTAACACAGGTAAGACAACTAAAATTTAAGCATAGGGCTGGGAAGATGGCTCAGTGGCAGAGTGCTTGCCTTGCATGCATGACGCCCTGGGGCCCTGGGTTCAACTCCTCAGCACCACATAAGCAGAAAAGGCCAGAAGTGGCGCTGTGGCTCAAATGGTAGAGCACTAGCCTTGAGCTGAAGAGCTGAGGGACAGTGCTTAATCCCAGAGTTCAGGCCCCAGGACAGACAGGCAGACGGACAGACGGACAGACACACAGACACACACACAAAAATAAATAAAATTTAAGCATGGCACCAGTGGCTCATGCCTTTAAGATCTGAGGACCTAGGTTCAAAGCCACAGAGCAGAAAAATCCAAGAGACTCTTATCACTAAATAACAAGTAAAAAAAAAAAAAAAGCCAGAAATGGAAGTGTGGCTCAAATGGTTGACGATCTGCCTTGAGTAAAAAAGCTAATCAAGAGCTCAAGGTCCTGACTTCAGGCCCCAGTACTCAACACCCCACCCAAGAAAACCAAGCCAACTAAAATCTGATTTGTATACGTGTAAAAGACAAGTTAGAGCCGGGCACTGGTGGCTCATGCCAGTAATCCTAGCTACTTAGGAGGCTGAAAGCTGAGGATCAAAGTTCAAAGCCAGCCCAGGCAGGAAAGTTCGTAAGACTTATCTCCAATTAACCACCATCAAACCAGAAGTGGTGCTGTGCCTCAAGTGGTAGAGCGCTTGCCTTGAGGTGAAGAGCTCAGGGAAGCACCCAGGCCCAGAGTTCAAGACCCACAACTGACAAAAAAAAAAAAAAGTTTCCAAAGAGGAATGAATTCAAACTTCCTTTTCCCTGTTTCCATTTACCTTTTTCCTCTTCCAAGAAAAATGTTGTTTTTTTTTTCAGAAGTATAGTTCATAGTGTTCTACACTTTGGCAATTGCTAATGGCTACACAATAGATTTATTGTCATATAGTGATTAGTCCTCTGTGGTTAGTGTGCACTATTATAGGCTCTTGAAACAATAAACAAACATACATATATCTGTGGGATAAATTCCTTCTAAAGGTATAGGTATAGTTATAATTTTTCCAGGATAGTCTCTTCAGTGCTCCAAAAGTATAAAACACTATTCTTTTTCCTAAGTCACTGCCAATAGCAGTGACCAGAGATGCATGTTTGACACTTCAGAGTACAATTAGTATCACTTCATATTTCCAGCTGTTTCTGCTCCCTTTTCTCTGGATCTTCTGTATACTGTGTTTTTCTACTAGGTTGTCCATAAGTTAAGGTTAAAATTGCTATATTCCATGATTATTCTTACTCTGAGCCCTTGAGATAAATAAATTTATTTCAGATACTTTACTCACCAGATGAACAGTAGAATGGAGCTGAGAAATGGTCTCTTGGCTTTTTTGCTTTGCATCTTTAACCCTGCTGAGAGCCTGCTCATAGGCACGTGAACGGAGCTTCGTAGACAGAGATCCCAGTCTAACATAATAACTTGGCTTCTGAACCATATCAAAGCCTTCGACTTTTTTTGCTTCTTTTTCTGAAAAGAGGCAGAGGATAGAAAAGAAGGGATCACAGTTGTAAGTTGATAAGGCCTGGACTTTAACCTGGGTCTCCACTTCTTCAATTCTACAGACTGACTTAGCAATATGCTTTCTGGCATGGAAGGCACTAATGATGATTTAGTGCGATGACTCTCTGTTCTAAAACTGGTTTGTTAGAAGTGGAGCTGTGGCTGAAAGTGGTAGAGTGCTAGCCTCGAGCATAAAGAGCTCATAGACAGCACCCAGGCCCTGAGTTTAAGCCCCACAACCAGAAAGACAAAAAACTGGTTTGTGGTGACTTCTGCAACTCTATAACTGTACTCCGGAATAAGGTATATAAATAAAGTCTATCTTAATAAACCTGTATTAAAAAGATTAGTAAGACAAACATTATTTCAAAATAAAAGTCTTATTACCTAATTCTTCCTGAGTGAGAGGGAGGTATTGGTCTACCAGCAGCTCTGATTTTGTCAATGCATTTTCTACTCCATGGCTCACAAGCTGCACCATCCGACTCGCCAAAACTGTGTTAATGCTGTCATTGACCACAGACTTGGTCTTCTCCACACTGCCAGTTACCACTCCTTTAGTCTTGTCCATGACCCCTGTGATTGTGCTGGCTACAGAATCCTTGGCCCCAGTCACAGTAGTTGTCACAGCACCTTTGGCATTAGCAACAACCTACAAGTAGACAAGCAGATCAATTGGCTTATGAGAAACAAGGGCACAAATACATATTTAAGGACTCACAAAGACAATGTAGTAGATAGGGAAAGTTGTCAGAGAACAATAGAGTAACATTATTCAAAATGCATTGTACTCATAATTGAGCTGAAACCCCATTGTAAAAACTAAATGAAAAAATTCTTTTCAAAAAGGTAATAGCTGGGAAGGTGGCTCAGTGGTAAAGTGCTTGCCTTGAATGCATGAGGCCCTGGGTTCCATTCCTCAGCACCACATAAGCAGAAAAAGCTAGAAGTGGCGCTGTGGCTCAAGTGGTAGAGCACTAGCCTTGAGCTGAAGAGCTGAGAGACAGCGCCCAGGCCCAGAGTTCAAGTCCCACAACCGACAAAAAAATAAATAAATAAAAGGTAATACTTAGGATCTGAGGATCAAGGTTCAAAGCCAGCCCAGGCAAGAAATCCCACAAGATTCTTTTTTTTTTGGTTGGTCATGGGGCTTGAACTCTGGGCTTGGACACTGTCCCTCAGCTCTTCAGCTCAAGGCGAGCATACTACCACTTGGGCCACAGTGCCACTTCCAGTTTTCTAGTGGTTTATTGGAGATAAGAGTCTCACAGACTTTCCTGCCCGGGCTGGCTTTGAACTGCGATCCTCAGATCTCAGCCTCCTGACTAGCTAGGATTACAGGCGTGAGCCAGCGGTGCCTGGCTCTCAAGATTCTTATCTCCACTAGAAAACTGGAAGTGCTAATGTGGTTCAAAGTGATAGTAGAGCTCTAGTCTTGAGCTAAAAATAGCTCAGGGACAGCACTCAGGCCCTGAACTATACTACCACCACCAACAACAAAAAAAGCAACATAGGAAAGGAATCTGGCCCTCTCATGCTCTAACTTTAAATCTTGGGAAAGTTGTTACAATTTAATGAGCTAGAATTGCTTTCTCAGGTCTTAGTGCCTAATGTGCCACTCATTCCTAAGGATTGTTAGAGATGCAGGTGGAATAAACAGATTAGAGTTTGTCAATTTGTCAAATTAAATTGTTTTGCTTGCTATGTCTTTAGTGACATACATGGAATCTCTTGAGCACATACTTTCTACATTGGTATGCTTACAAGGAGAGTAGTTCATACTTAAAATGACCAGGGAACCTAGCCCTCTGCACAGAATCCAGAAAGCCAACTCATAAGCAGAACTAGATATTGATTTAGTCCTTAGTCTGGTGTCACTTTGTGTGTGTGTGTGTGTGTGTGTGTGTGTGTGTGTGTGTGTTGGTCCTGAGGCTTGAGCTCAGAGCCTAAGCACTGTCCCTGTCTGGTGTCACTGTGTGTGTGTGTATGTGTGTGTGTTTTTAGTCCTTAGTCTGGTGTCACTTTGTGTGTGTGTGTGTGTGTGTGTTGGTCCTGAGGCTTGAGCTCAGAGCCTAAGCACTGTCCCTGTCTGGTGTCACTGTGTGTGTGTGTGTGTGTGTGTGTGTGTGTGTTGGTCCTGAGGCTTGAGCTCAGAGCCTAAGCACTGTCCCTGAGATTTTTTTTTTTCTCAACTAATGCTCTACCACTTGAGCCACAACTCCACTCCTGACCATTTAGTGGCCAAGTGGTGATAGAATCTCATGGACTTTCCTGCCTGCCTGGCTTTGAACTGTTGATCCTCAGATCTCAGCCTCTTGAGTAGCTAGGATTACAGGCGTGAGCCACTGTGCCTGGCTGGTGTTACTTTCAATGTAAGGAAACTGCTTTAAGCCTTCATGTGCTGCTTCAGGCCCCACACATACAGGGGTGAGCTGAGATTTCAGACAAGGATCACAGCACTGCACTCTTACTTGAAAACTGCATTATAAGAATCCTTGTAGCTTTATAATTCTACTTATATGAATAAATGGGAAAAACAAAACTAACTTTCCCTCCTTCCTGTTCTTTCCTCCCAGTGCTGGTGATCAAACCCAGGGCCTACAGTGTAATAGACAAACTTCATCCCTATCCCATAAGTGCATTTATTTTTTTTAACATCAGGACATTTTCTACTTATAATAGATTTATGAAGATATAATTGTTGTAATTTAAGGAGCATCTGTATTACATAAAAAATAGACTGCATAGGCTACTTTACAGGTGCTGGTGCCTGGTACTTGTGGCTGGTGCCTATGAGATCTGAAAACTTTTGTTGCAAAGCCTATCAAGGTAGACAAATCCAGCCGGGTGCCAGTGGCTTACACCTGTAGTCCTAGCTACTCAGGAGGCTGAGATCTGAGGATCATGGTTCAAAGCCAGCCTAGGCAGGAAAGTCCATGAGACTCTTATCTCCAATAAAAAACCCTAGAAAACCAGAAGTGGCATTGTAGCTCAAGTGGTAGAGCGCTCACCTTGAGCTGAAGAGCTGAGGGACAGTGCCCAGGCTCTGAGTTCAAGCCCCACAACCGACCAAAAAAAAACCAAAACCAAAATACCAAGGTAGACAAATCCATGAGACAGCTGTTTATCTCCAATTAACCAGCAAAAACTCAAGTGGTAGAGCACCAGCTTAAAAACAGCATGCTGGCCCTGAGTCCATGCCCTAGTACTGGCACAGTGGCACACACACACACACACACAAACAACTCCCAATCTGTCTCCTATGTACTGATTATAAGTATGTGCCACCATGCCCAATTTTAGACTTTTAAGCAAATCAAACAAAAGAAGAACAACCTGTAATAATCAAATTCAAATGACTTCACTAGTTTATGTAAAAGCTGGGTACAATGGAGCACTCCTGTTATCCTGGAAGTCTCAAGTGGTAGAGAGCATGTCTAGCATTCATGAGGCCTTGGCTTTAAAATCCCCAGTACAGCAAAGCCTTGGCTACATAATAAAATGCCCCCAAAATGGTCCTTGGTTCCATCTCTGGCACTTCCCTGCCTTCCTGCCCCCCCTAGAAAAAAAAACAACTCTACAAAGAAACAGTAACAGTGTCAATGGCTCTGTAATCCTAACTACTCAGGAGTCTGAGATAGAGGGTCAAACCCTGTCAGAACAATCCAAGAGACTCTTACCTCTAATCAACTACAAAAATACCAGCCGAGTGAGTGAAAAAGAAAAGAACAAGAGGCATGCACGCACATGCACACACAGACAAGCACACACAAACCTTTTCAGGTACTTAATAATTCTTGAGTTAGTGGAGTTTTTGATTTTTAATACTCAACTTAATTTTTGTTTAATTTTAAATAAATTGATTTAATATTATGTATAAGTCATTAACATTGAAAGAATATACCCAAAATGGAAAATAAACTCCATCATTAGAATAATCTCAAGCATCATAAGTGAAAATTTTAAAGTTGAAAACAAGCATGCTAAAAGCTGTACATAGGGCTGGGAAGGTGGCTCAGTGGTATAGCACTTGCTTTGCAAGCACTATACACATAAGCAAAAAGAAAAAAGCCGGAAGTGGCGCTGTGGCTCAAGTGGTAGAGCACTAGCCTTGATCTGAAGAGCTGAGGGACAGCGCCCAGGCCCAGAGTTCAGGCCCCACAACTAGACCTAAAAAAAAAAAAAGAAAAGAAAAGCTATACATTAGCTCAGTGCTATAGCTCTTCAGGAAGCTGAGATCTGGGGGTAGTGGTTCAAAGCCAATCCAAGCAGGAACATCCATGAGACAACTGTCCAATCGACCACCAAAAAGCTGAAAGTGGAGTTGTGGTTCAAGTGAAACAATGACAGTGCTCAAGCCCCGATCAAGCTCCAGAACCAGAAAAAAAATACATTCAACCATTTAATCATGAAAGACAGAACACCAGATTTTCCCCTAATATTATGTGCCATATGTATCCATGCATTCTTAATTTGAAAGAATATTTTAGGACATAGCCGGGCACTGGTGGCTCACGCCTGTAATCCTAGCTACTCAGGAGGCTGAGATCTGAGGATCGCGGTTCAAAGCCAGCCCGGGCAGGAAACCACCAGAAAACCAGAAGTGGCGCTGTAGCTCAAGTGGTAGAGCGCTTGCCTTGAGCTGAAGAGCTGAGGGACAGCGCCCAGGCCCAGAGTTCAAGCTCCACGACCGACAAAAAACAAAAACAAACAAAAAGAATATTTTAGGACATTATCTGAACCAAACAATTATTGAGATAGATGTGCCTATAATTTTTGTCAAGATTGACAAGCTATCCCTTATGTATGGTGTCACTATTAGCACTGAAACTTCACCTTTGAAGTTTTGGGCTTCATGGGCATTATTAGGCCAAGGGCTCACCACTGAGCAACACCAGACTTTTTCATTTTACTTTCAAACTATGCAGCCCAAACTAGCCTTGAATTCCCTTCTTCCCTCAGCCTTCAGGTAACAAATTACTACATGTATGTGTTACCATGAGAGCCTGGGAATTTGAGAGAGCAATTTCACCAACTGAGATTAGATTAAAAAGCATTCTAGCCAAAGGTAGCTAGATTTTCTGTTTCTTTAAACACAAATCTAGCAGTTCAGGAAGTTTCTTTCAAAAACTATATCCAGATCCAAGTTAAAGGAACAAATAAATATCTGTGCATTTGTTGCATGCACAGCCTGGGATAAACAGAACATGAAAACATCCAATTGGCAAGCCTGCACACTTTGGTCCCACGCTTACCTGGGCTGTTGGCTGATTCAGAATCGGCAGTCTCTCTTCAATTCTGTCCAGTCCCTTACAGGCATAGGTATTGGCAACTGCAACTGCAAGAATCAGATGGAAAAATGTTCATGTGACAGTGCAGATAGAATACAAACACACAGATAGCATGGGAATGTGGCTTAGTGGTAGAATGCTTGCCTAGAATGCATGAAGTCCTGGGTTCAATTCCTCAGTATGACATAAATAGAAAAAGCTGGAAGTGGTGCTGTGGCTCAAGTGAGAGTGTTAGCCTTGAGTAAAAGAAGCTGACGGACAGTGCCCAAGCTCTGAGTTCAAGGACTGGCAAAACACACACACACACACACACACACACACACACACAGTTATACTTTACATCTTTCACCTTACTACTGCAAAACACACACACACACACACACACACACACAC